GCAACAACTAAAACCATCAGTGTGTTATCAACATAATTCTCATCCTAAATCCAAACCACAGTGCTATACTAGCTACTAGAAAGAAAATTAGCTCTATCTCATCTGAAACCAGGACACCCTCAATAAACACGCCGAAGAATAGGATCAGTTTAACAACAACAAAGTCAATTTAGAATTACTTCAATAATGTGTATTCTACAGATCTATTAAAGGCGTAACTGAAAGCATTGTTGTTGGTGCACATTCAGTACTATGTGAGTCCATCAGTGCATTTCACCTTGCTTCCAGATGATTGCATGTTTCAGTTGCAAAGAGGATCTTGGATCATCATTCAAAATCCACTCTATTGAGGCCAACTAAAGTACTAAAGTACCTGAAAGGGCCTACAGGAAAGCTGGAGAGGGACTGGTTACAAAGGCATGTAGTGATAGGACAAGGGATAATGGCTTACAAACTGAAAGAGAGTAGATTTAGATTAGATATTAGGAAGAAATTCTTTACTGTGAGGGTGGTGAGGCAGTGGAACAGGTTGCCCAAAGAGGTTGTGGATGTCCCCTCCCTGGAAGTGTTCAAGGCCAGGTTGGATGGGGCTTTGGGCAGCCTGGTCTAGTGGAGGGTGTCCCTGCCCATGGCAGGGGGGTTGGAACTAGATGATCTTTAAGGTCCCTTCCATCCCAAACCATTCTATGATTCTATGATTCTATGAACTACAGCCTCCTAAGAGCTTTTTGGAGTCCTTTGTTTGTTGAGAAAGTAATTCAAAGCCAAAGAAATGTCCCTCTCAAAGAAAGGAATTTGCTTCAAAAGTTCTGTGTGTTATATTGCAACCAGTTTTTGAGAACACTACCATCAATTCCCAGCTCAGGCAAAGACTGCATTCTAGGAGGCTGAGAAAATCCATTAGCCCCCTTTCTCCAGCAGAAGTGAAAATGTAAATCCTTACACCTGTAAAGTGGAGACAAAACCATTTCCTTGCCACAGAGGAACGTGCCATTGTTACATAACATGACTACAATGCTAAGTGCTAAAGTGATTAGGGTCCCAGATATTTAAAGAAAAAAAAAATCTCATTTTCTTAGAAGACTTTCAAATAGAAGAACAAAGCTCCAGCAAATTGAGTGTGGAAAATGATCCTCCACTGTCCCCACTCTCCAGCAAGCTAGATGAACTTATTTATCTTTCACAACACCAATTTCTATGGCTCTCTACTGGAAAGCTGCCAGAATTATAGGCAAACAGAAACTGATTCAGCTACTCAGAAGGAACAGAGTATCTGGGAATAGGAAAATTATCTATGTAGGAGGTTTGCCAGCAATTTCAATAAATTACACTCTAAAAGATAACACCATGAAATGAAAAAGTTCTCTTTAATTAAAAACTCCATTTTAAAAAGTACGTATATACATTTAGCTTTATAAAATAAAGACAGAACAGCTGTTAACCAGGCTCAGAGTTGCTAAAACTCTGGAATAAGCTAGTTTGAAAAATTAGATTTCTAAATGAGATTTAGAGCTTAATGAGGTCACAACTGTCTTGACTAGTCTTAGTCCAAATAAGCACAAAAGAGATACACACCATTTTTGAAAACTACAAGAAAACCATTGATGAAAACCTCCACACCAGCATAATACAAATTAATTGTTATTTCTCTTCCCCTTGGGTTGCAAAAAGAAGTGAGACTGTTTGTTTTAAGAATCAGCTGGGAATTCAGGAAGCAATTTACAGAAGCACAGACTCTTCAGAATTCAGATGTGTTTAAATTAGATGTCTGGTCCTTGTATAGACTAAGGGGAGAAAGAGAGACTTTCGAGGTAATGTTCAGAGCACCTAAGGTAGTATCTTGCTCTTGGGACACTTTCCACTAGACCCTGTCTGCAACCATGGACTACAAAAGCAATATCTGGAGCCCAATATCCTAATTTACAGTCCTAAAATAACTAAAGAAAGTGAGGCAAAACAAAGACCAAGTGAGATTTTTGTTTTGTTCAAACTGGCATACTGGCATCAGCAATTTCTTGCATTGCCAGAGCATTTTTGCATAGCTAGCATCATGTCCTGTGGGAGAGAGAAAAGCCTCTAATAAAGTCCATTGGATTTTTGGATAGACTATTAGTTTCAGTACACTCATTTTTAACCCCTTGAGCTTTAATCCTCCTTCTTTGGCATTTTTTATTCGCTATCCAGTGGAATGAGGTAGGGATGTATTATTGAAATATTTATAGTTTCCTCCAGAAGAAAATAAGTAGAGTTAATGTAATGTAGTAGATATATTTCCACATCTTCCTCACAGCAACCATTACAATGTGGCACACAACAACCATTATAATGTGGCAGTATCATTTACTAAGGTTCTGGGGAGACCACATAGCAGCCTTCCAGTACCTGAAGGGGCCTCCAGGAAAGTTGGAGAGGGACTGGTTACAAGGGCGTGTATTGATAGGACAAAGGGTAGTGGCTTTAAACTAAAAGAGGGTAGATTAAGATTAGATATAAGGAAGAAAATTATGTCCTTTGAGGGTGGTGAGGCACTGGAACAGGTTGCCCAGAGAAGCTGTGGATGCCCCCCCCCCGGAAGAGTTCAAGGCCAGGTTGGATGGGGCTGTGGGCAACCTGGTCTAGTGGAGGGTGTCCCTGCCCATGGCAGGGGGGTTGGAACTAGATGATCTTTAAGATCTCTTCCAACCCAAACCATTCTATGATTCTATGAGTATATAAGTCTGTGATTCTAAAGCTGAAAGAAGGTAACAGGAGTGTGTTGCAAGCAATGTGGTGGATGGAGTGCAAGAGTAGGGTATAGGACACCTGATTTCTCTGCTGCTGGTCTACCAAGGAACTTCGATACACAAAGTCAAATTACTTTCTTACTCTCCCTGTAAGTAAATTGAAGTTAAAGATACTGAGACCCACCTTATGTGGCAGAGGTCCAAATGTTGTCACAGTTTTATCGCATCCTGAAAAGTTACCCACAACTGAAAGATCAGCTTCTAGAGGAGAATCCCAGGTAGCAAACATTGAGCTCTCATGAATAGCTTTTCATTGTATGTCTTTCTTTAATGAGGCAACAAGCAGCTTGAGTTAACAAGCTGTTTCCAAGAAAATTAATGGAACTGCTAATCCAACTAATTCACTACTCATCTTGGTAAAATCAGGCATCCAGGATTAAAACCTATATTATTCTTTACATTCAATTTTGACTTTTTAAATCAGAATTTCTAGGTCTTCTACCAGTTACCACTATGTTTTTATACTTTCTGGGAATAAATAAATTAATTTTTCTATGCCCTTACATAGAAATTGATATTGTCGAGGTGTTGAGGGAATCACGGAATCCTGTGTACTCACATTTATACTTTAAACACTTCCAAAGGTGCTAAAATCAGGGACCTGACGTCCCTATTAAAATCTGTGGAGAGAGAGTGGCGTTTTAGCATGAAACTGAGAACACATCAATTATATGCCTGAAAAGGTGAACTGAACTAAAGCAGCAGTAACACACAGGGCTGCCAGATACAGAGTATGGGTTTACAGACTCATCAGCCAGCATCCCTTCCATGTGATAAGCATTGCGCCCACGAAGGTCGTACGCTCCACAGTATGGTCTGAGGTGCTCAAGCCAAATTAAACACATACCTTGACTCCTCTGTAAGGATCCTGGCAGTGGATCCCATCTGCTACCACCACACTTCAGAATTCAGGGCAGCTTGTTTCTAACAAGGATGTATTTTCTTCCGAAGCACAGAGTCCTTGTTCCTCACAGCACCTCAGAACAAGGAAGTTTCCTCTTAATCTTCATCAGGTAAATCTCTCAGTGAAACTTTATATTGGTGCTGGTACTGTCAGTGTTAATACTGTACCTGCTTCATAGCTGAATGAAGGGTGCTAGTCTACCTGGATGCCAGTCTAGCAAATATATCCAGGGCTAACTGATGCTCCAGGGAGCAATATCAACTTTGCAGAAAGGTACTCTGAGACATACAACAATCATCATCTTGAAAAAAACCCCCTGAAAACCTAAGCATTCAATTGTCTGGGTAGCAGGCATTTGAAAAATCTTATTGTAGGCAATAACTGTAACAAAGAACAGAATTTCTGCTTGTGGAGTAGGAGGAAAAGAGTTGAAAAATGAATGAACACAATTTGTTGGTTGCAGTAACCTTTATGAAAAATCTGCTTTCTAATTTCAGAGAACTTCTCATCCACTAACAGAAAAGCATATGCTCTATTTTAAGCTGTATATAATGCAATGGATAGCTATAATTACTTCAACAGAATAAGGAACAGTATCACCCAATATGTACTGTAAGTCAGGCAAGTTATTTATTTTGTCAGCAGCTGGAACATACAGCTGCTTGTGTTTGTTAGTATTTCACATTCATCATTACATTTATTTGCTTACTTACAAATTGGTATGAAGTGCTTCTTATCTTTCCAGCCAAATAAGTTACAAACTCTAGATATCACAAACATTATACAGAAATATGAGTTACACATGAATGGGATACAAGGATGACGGGGGGGGAGACAGAAAGAGGTGCTCTCTCTTAAAAACTTAACCCGAATTCTGCTGAGAAAGAGCATCTGAAGGCTTGGAAGTCTGTGCTGCATGTTATGTACACAGTAATATATCCACTCAGTTTAATATTTGCCAGGCAGATCACAAAGCCCTCTCAGGCTACAGCAGCATATAATCTCCTTGAATGTTTTCCTGAGCTCCTGACTCCGGAATGCATAGATGAGTGGATCAATGATGGAATTGCACATGATGAGGATGAGGTAGAAGTTAAAGTGGGACATGAAACACACACAGTAAGGGTTGTAGGGGCAGGAGATGTAGAAAATCAGGTGCAGGAAAAATGGAGCCCAGCACACAACAAAAACTCCAATCAGGATGGTGAGAGTGATGGCCCCTTTCATGTTGGCCCCTTGACGAATAGGGCCAGTCCCTGGAAGAACAGCAATCTTTTTGATATGCATCCGAGCCATCATGAACATGTGGACATAGAGGGATGCCATGAGAATGAGCATAGTGAAGAACATGCTAATAAGGCAGATGATGACAACACTGCTGTCAGAGTAAATGATGAACAAAATGCCTGAGACTGTGCAAGCAGCCCAGATGCATGTGATGATGATCCCTACGCGCTTCACCGTCATGATATTATGGTACTGGAGGGCATAAAAGATAGTAAAGTACCTGTCCACTGCTATTGAAAGGAGACTGCAAATTGATGCAAGCAAGGAACTGCAAATCACTGAGTCAATGACATTGTCAATGTTTATGGTAAAGCTCTGTGCATCTGTATCTGTATTGTTTAGCAGCGTGATGACAATAGTTTCTGATCCATTAGATACACTCACTAGCATGTCAGCCACTGCCAAGCTACAGATGAAGAAGTACATGGGTGAATGGAGGTTCTTGTTCTTGGCTATCGCCACAATGACCAAGACGTTCTCCAGCAAGCTGATGATGCCCAGAGTCACAAACACTTCAGGAGATACAAAGAGTTGCTCGTAGCAGCCGCCCGAGGAGTGGCCCTTTGCATTGGGCTCGCTGGCACCTCCGTGCAGTCCGTAGCTGTGGTTCCAGAAATGGAGATGCTGGAGTGTCCCACGGTGCTGGGTGAAATTCATCTTATGGAGAGCCCCTTTCAGCTTCCTGCTTTTAAAACTCCTGTTCCTTTTTGCATTCCTTTGAAAACCTTCTTTGGCTTTTCAGCTTGGGAAGAAAAGAAAAATAAGCCAGCACTGAGGCAGGCAGCAGTTCAGAACACTTTGGCTGCTGATACAAAATAAGGTTTCAAACTCAGAAATGCTGGTTTACTCTCTCACAGATGCAGTTTCTGATCATCATCACATTTACCTTAATGATCTATGTCACAGAGTCCAAACAGTCTGTAAGTTTGCATCAGATTCTCCCCTATGGTCAGTTCCTGTTTAGTTCACTGGTATGCTGCAAGGTTTTTTTTGTTCTCTTCCATTAAAAGAGGCAAACATAAAATGCCCAGGTGATTGCTGTGGAGCAGAAACTAATTTCAAACTGCAAGCACCGGTCTCGCTGTCAGACAGTGCATGCTGGCTGCCTGTTTTATGGTGTGTGGAGGAGAAAAATATTCAGGGCACTCCCCGCCTCTGCTTTGCCTTCCAGCCAATGGGGCTCAGGAGCCACAGAAAGTCGAGGCGCTGCTGATTCTGAGCATCTCTGAAACATCACACGGCACAGCAGATTCAGATGCAGCACGAGCTACAGGAAAGCAGATGGGCTACGAGAGATTTGTTTCCTTTCTTTAACTTCTCAGAATAGTATTTTAATACTGATTTTTAATTAGCAGTCTTACAGAACTGTACTAGCAATCTTACAGAATTCCTATAGCTGAACTGACAGCTTTTTCTTTTTCACACTGTGATTTACTGCGATTTACTCTTGCCCCTTCTGTGGCACAAAGTTGCTCTGCCTTGTATATTTGACAAAGGACAAGGAAGTAAGAGAATACTTATTTCCTCTTGTTTCTGTCTCCCATATCTCCCTTGCCTTGCTAACTTTTCTATGCCTTAGGTGGCCATTTGCAAGATGTGTTGTTGCAAAGTTCCATTATACTCTCTAAGCTTATAATTTTTAAGAAATTGAGACCATCTAAGAATCAAAACCAGAACAAGGTGCCAAAGTCACAAATGGCTTAAATTGTCCTAAAGAAAGCAGTTTCTCCCAGGTAATAGCCATCTTCATCGTCTTATTTCCAGGAAGGAAACGATGATAGAGTTGATTGCAAAAGCCCTGATGCCATCAGGAATTAGCATGTTGGGCAGAAAAAGAAAAGTTAGTATTTAGAATAGATGAAGGAAAGCAACAGGAGACAAATTTGTGATCTGTAAGAAATGGGGCTCATACAATGGTAATGACACAAAGGCATCAATAAATGTCCTAAAATTCCATCTGGAGGGATGTCCCTGTGCTTACTTGGCATGAGCTCAAAGTCAGCTTGTGTGCAGTCTGCCAGGGAAAGCCCATTGAGAAGAAGGAGGAAAAGAATGCCAAATGAATATGAAGAGACAGGAACAAAAGTGGTTTTGCTCTTTCCTCTTCAAGCATTGCAACTATGGATTGAAAAACAAATATACTGAACAAAGCCTAAAGTACAGGTGGATTTTAAAGCTATGGAAGTTATAGGAAAGTCAGTCACTACCCCTGGGAGTAATGTTTGCAAGGAAGTTGTTTGAATGAACATTTCCAGTCAACTACCAGGAGAGCTATGGAGGGGTCTGTATCTGATGCAGGCATCTATTTTCTTTAACCTCTGAAACTTTTTTCATCTTCCATGCATTAGCTGGTTTTAAAATGAACAGCTATAAAGATATAAAGGAATACAATACGCCTGTGGAAGCACAACTATCTATATTCAACATCCCAGCACCAGGGTGAAACATGATTTTACTTTCACATTTGGTTTTGCTATAGATCTATGGTTATAAAAACCTCTGTCAGAAGAAAAGCCTCAGCCAATTATTTCTGGGCCTTTCCCCAGACAGATTGTTTCATAAAGCTGAAACATAAACACCCAAGACAAACAAAATGACTTGCCACACAGGAAATCCCACATTTATCAGTTTGGAAAACATCATTTGCCAGCAGCATCCTTGCAATGAAAGAATAGCTTGCTGCTGAGAAGGTGAGATTTACTTCCTATCAAGACATAATGCAAGCCAGGATTCAAAGAGATTTATTATCTAGTTACTGATCTCTGGGCCAGTATACACTAACTCCTGCCACAGACAGGACTTGCATACCTAACCCTTAAGGACATAGCTATAATGTGAGAGCAGGGAGAAAATTTATGTAAAGACTAACGTGGGAGTGCAGCATCTCCCAGACAAGGTATTTTTCTACACCTGCAGCCAGAAATGTGTAATCTTCATGCTATCCCAGGGAAGCAGCCCCTCAGCATTCCTTCCTTCACCATCTCCCTCCATGTGGGAAGTGCCCACAGCACAGGGATCTCTCCCTCTCACCTACTTGGGTGAAGCTAGAGCAGGAGAGGCTGGCAAGAATAGAGAGAAGCTGCCTCCAGAGGATACTGCCCTGTTTGCTCCAACTGTCTGGCTCCTCCCTTTCTCTGCACAGTATCTCTGTTCTCATCCCCATTTCTATTTCCATTTACTATCTATCTATCTCATCCATTTACTATTCTCATCCCCATTTCTCTTTCCATTTACTATCTCTCTTTACCCAGAAGCTATCCAAACAATGCTCCGTGCTTGATTTTTCTCTGGGCATGGCCATAAAAATGCAACATTGGTTATAACAAAAGAAAGAGAAGGACACTTCTGTCCCACCCACAGCCATCACTCACCTCAAAATTTCTACTGATACTCTGCATTCTTGGGGCAAGGTTGTTTTGTTGTGTCACTCATATTCGTGGGATGAGGATACATGACTGGAAGGAATAGACTTATGGTAGCTTAGCAACTCAGTTGGGGCACTGAAGAGGGGTTGTACCATTAGCCTGCTCTGACTAGAAGGTAAAACAAGTTATAAGAGCACTTTTTAAAATAAGAGATGTATGTACATCTAAATACTTCTATGGTGGAAGATCGATACATGTCTCTGGCCCTATTTAAAAAAAAAAAAAAACAAACCATATAATGTTAAAATCATTCAAAGGATCCTAGCTCTCTCATGCCTGAAAATGTGTCAATATTTCAATTTTTTTTTAGTCATAGATAACAGGAGTATTGCCTAATACACATTGCCTAAACTGTTTCTTAAATTTTAAAACCCAAAGCTAAGCTAGTATTTCTTTCAGAAGGGGTGGCTCGCAAGCTTTTCAGCTTGCATGGAAAAACAGCCATGGCTGCAGAAAACTATAAACTAACAACAATGACATACTAATATGAGCTCCAGCTCTTAAGAGAAATAAAACATGAGCGAAGACTTGATACCAGCCTCCCCTTTCAACATAATGAGGAATCATTATTTTGATCTGTCTTTAAAAATGTCCATTTTAAGACTTCCTCCTATACAATTCCCCCATGTCCTATGCTCTGTTTCCAGCTATGTCCCAACGCCCACCCTCCAGATAGGGTTACAGCCATCTCTACCTCACAACATTTTGAAGAGCTGAATTATCCTCTGACAGTTGCTTTTGAAAGTCAGAAGAAAGTGTTCACTGGCATCAATAATAAGCAGATAAAATCCCAATAGTGCTACAGGAAGGCAGACAGAGTCATGAGCAGGCTGTACAGGACCACTATGGGAGAAAAAGAAAGGTAGAGGGAATTAGCATAGGCACTTCCCTGCTCAAATGCACAGTCTGAGATCTCTTTGAATCCCATGTCCATGTTGCTCAAGCACAGAGATGACATTTACCACTCCAACAGCTGTCAGTGGAAACAGAGGAGCGGTTGTGAGAAGCTGGGTAGAAGCAGAAGCCAAAAAAGGAGATTATTAACACTGTGGCTTTGTCTAGCCAAGTCTTGAAAACTTCCAAGAATGGAGATCCCACAGCCTTCCTGGATAACCTGTTCTGCATTGCTTTTCTAGTTTAAAAGTTTTTCCTAATCTGAATCCCTCAAGACTAGGTTACATCCCCTACAGGAGAGGTAGAGGGAGCTGGACGGGTAAAGTTTGGTGAAGAGGAGGCTAAGGGGTGATCTAATAGCAGATTAATCTAATCTAATTTAATAGCTAATGAAAGAGAAGGTACAAAGGTTATAGGGCCAGGCTCCTCTTGGCAGCGCCATGGAATATAACAAGAAGCAGCAGTCACAGATTGTGGCTTGGGTATGTAACCCAGGCTCCTGCCCATTGTGACAGCCCTTCGAGGAACCATCTTCAGTTTCTCCATATCCCTCTTGAACTGCAGGGACCCAAAGTTGAACACTGTTCCGGGTACAGCCTCACCCATGCCAAGTAGAGGGGGATAATAACCTACTTTGATCAGTCAGCTGCACTTCTCCTAATGCAGCTGATTGCCTGCTTTGCGCCATTTGCAATGGTAGTGCACTTTTGGCTTATATTCAGGTTGACATTCAACATAATCCCTTTGCTGTCCTTTTCAGCAAAGCTGCTACTCAGGCAGTCAGCCTGTTGTGTACTGATGCATGGGGCTATTCCACCCCATGCAAAGAGCTTTGTACTTCTTGTTTACCTTCATAAAGTTTCTGTTGATCCAATAGTCATGTCTCCCAATATCCTTCTAGATCAAAAACTCTGCTGTTTAATATGTCCACCATTCATCCCCTTGACTTACTGCAATCTGCAAATTTGTGGATGGTGCATTCTGTATGAACATCCCCGTTAGTGATGGAGATATGAAACAATTATTCCCAGTACAGACCCCAGGGCACTCCATTTGTTCCCACCTATCAGCTGGACTGTTGCCCAGTGTTCAGTACATTGATCACTACCTTTTGATATTATCAGTCCAAGCAGTTTGCAACACACCTGTGACATGCAAAGGGAAACACTGGTCAATGGAAAACTGGTCTAATAAATTTTCATCTAGCCTTTTATTTTGGAGTGCTGATTGCCTCATAATCTTTGTAATTTATTTTTAACCTTTCTCACTTGAGGTAAAAGCAGTTTTTAAATCAAGGAGCTTCAGTGTTGAGAGCAGGAGTCTCTATACCTTGCCTCTTTTTCTCTTGTCTTTTAGTTAGAACAGCAGAACTCTTTAGCCAGTCTGGCCACTGAAAAGCACAGAAATGTATATTCTGCTGGCAAATGATTCATTTGCACTTACTTGAAGATGCTGTAAGTGTGCAGAAGTGGAATGTTTTCCATTAAAATGGCATGAGGAGCACAGGGCCCTTAAGCACTTAACTGTTTAAATCTAATCTCAATTCTATTTTAGGCAATCGCTGTTGTGATGATGGAGATCATTAATTTGCAGTCAATGTAGCAATCACCATCCTTGTCCTAGTCTTTTCTCCCCCATTCCATCCCTCCAAAATAATCAATTTTTTCTTTTACTTGCTTGTAGATTTAGGTGCTTGTCTGTTCAGACTCATCTGAAGCACTTTGTTC